AGGAAGGAAGGAAGGAAGGAAGGAAGGAAGGAAGGAAGGAAAAGAAGAAAGATCTTCTAAACAAGTCACTAACCAGCAAGTAAAGTACAAACTGGATTGTCTCCTCTCCAGCTTGCTCTGCTCTTCAAGTCTTTCTTTCATTCTTTTTGTCTCGTTCTGCTCCTGCTAAAGCGTCTTTTTACAGATTTGCCCATGAAACATGTCATTTGATTTCTTGATTGCTGCTTCTCTGGTCATTAAGTATTGTAAAATGAAACTGTTGACAGCTTCACTATTTTCTCCATTTATCACGATCCTGCTTACTGGTCTAGTTGGGAAGGTTTTTCTCTTTATGTTGAGGTGGCTGTAGTCTTCAATCTGCATCCTTTACATTCAACGAGTAAGTTTGTGTGATTTGTTCATCAAGAATTGCTAATGCTTCTTCCTCCAGTCTTAACGCTATGTTTTTCTTCATCTCTATCTAGCTTCCGGGGTCACTAACTCAGTATACAGATTGAATGGGTATAGTGAAAGGTCCTGACTTCAATACTAACATTTCCTGATTTTAAACAATGCAGTATCCTCTTGTTCTGTCCAACTGACTTCCTCTTGATTTGTGTACAAGATCAACATAAGCACAATTCACTGTTCTGGAATTTCTATGCTTCACAATGTTATCCATAATTTTTTCTATGACCTACAAAGTCAAAAGCTTTTGCATAGCAATAAACCATAGGACAACATCTTTTGATATTCTGTGATTTCAACCAAGATCCATCTGACATTAGCACGGCCATCTTTCATTCCATGTTGCCTTCTGAATCTTAAAATACCTACTTAAATTGTTATCTTCAGCAAAATTGTACCTCTATATGATAATGATACTGTTTGATAATTCCTATGATACATTTGATCACATTTCTTTGGAATGAACATAACCATCTCTTTCTTCCTGTGAGTTGGCTAGCTAGTGGTCTCTCTAAATATCTTGGTATATAGACAGGTGAGTAAATCCAGTAGCATATGTGTTTGTTAAAACATCTGAATTGGTACTTCCTCAATTCCTATATGATGGGATTGACCAACTTAAAATGACCAACAGGAATTCATTTTACCTCACTAATTTCAAGGATATTGAAATTAATCTTTTAGAACTTCCAATATTCCTAGATTCATACTTCACCTATTCCATGTTCTGATTATCAGGATGTTTGTATCTCATGTTATAGCAGAAAACTTTAAAGTCCTGAAAGCTTTTCTCCTTTCTGTGTAGCAATAAGGCCATTAAAGTAAACTCTACTTTAAGGAGGTAGCTTTTCCCCCAAGTACATTATTAATGTCTTCCAACTTAAGAGACTCATTTTTTGACATTATATATGAACTTTCTGCTGCTAATCATACGGTTTTCACATTTTTTAGAGATCTGTCCTCTTATTTTGTCTTACTCTGGAACCTCTGCTGAAATCTGTCCACCATGCATGACTATGCTTGTGACATTGAAATACCAGTGACATTGCTTCCAGCATCACAGCAAAGCACAAAGCACCAGAGTACAGAAAAACTGACAGGCAAGTGGTGGCACCCATAGTTAACAATGACAACAATGCCGAAAGAGCTCTCTCACACACTGATATGGGAATAAATTGGTCATGAGGTTCAGAAGACAATCTAGCGTTTACTACCAACAACCTCTGGCGGCACAAGTTTGCACTGCTAACCAAAAGGTCAGTGGTTTAAATGAACAGGCCTCCATGGGAGAAAGACAGGCAGTCTTGTGGACAGTCTCCTCTCATAAACACTTACCAGATGGAAGGCAGATTGAGTCGAAATCATGCTTGACATCATATTTGATAGCAGTGGGTTAGGATTAATTTCCTTAAGATCCTTATTCAGAATTCAACTCATGGTCTTCTTTCTTGGACAGCCAATATAAAAGCTTAATTTTCTTCCTCAACTTTCTGGCTTTAATTTTGTCTTCTTAGTATACACATTTCTTCTTAGTATATACCAGTATTCAATCTACTGTCTGTGCTTCCTCACTCATCTTTTTTATTGATATTTGTTCCTAATGACTTGTAAGCACTGTGAGGTATAGGCTCTGTGTCTATGTTATTCACCAGTGTCTCCTTCGCATCCAAAATACTTCCAGAATGTAGTTCCATTTCAATACAGTATTTAATGAATATACATCAAATTTCATTTGGCTTAAGGTTCCTTATATAGATAGTTGGACTAATTTTTCTTCCTGTCTCTCAGAAACTTAATTATACCATGTAATGACAGTTCAGCCCATAAATTTCTTCAATGAGATTCTAAGAATCACAAAAGTAATCTAATGTAGACAAAATTTAAAAGATAAAAGAATGAAAAGGAGTCAGCCACATTGAACTGTAATTAACTCCACAGCAACTGGTTTTTTATAAAGCGGAATCTGGTCAGTGCAAAGCAAAATGCTCCCTCTCTTTCCACAGATTAGGAAGAATATTGTCCATAGCTTCAGAAAACCCAAGTCTGATGCCTCTATCACCCTGTACTAGTGTGTGTAATTTAAGCTTCCCAACTCAATGTTACTCTAAATTTTAAATAAAGCAATATACAGTGGCCTAGAGGCATGAAGCTGTACTTAAGCCCAAAGGCACGAGGTTCGAGGCCATGAGCTGCTCCACGGGCTTTGAAAAGGACTGCCTTTGAAAACCTGCCAGAGGGCCAGCACTGGGTTGGTGATGACTCTGCAGTACACAACAACAACAATGTATAATACACTGTGAAATTCCATTTACTATATAAAGGCAAGATGCTAGCAGAGTACAGTACCAATTAAGAACAACAACAACAACAAAAATCCCAACAAACTGATGTTATAGTGTTAGCCTAAAAGTTGTTGTTGTGTTCGTTTGGGTTTTTTTAGCCATTACAGTAAGCTCCCTCTGGTCTCCAGCAAACTTAAATGAAGACATAGACTTGCAAATCATCAATAGCTGTGGGACTGTGGCACTGCAGTGGAGAAACTGTGGCAAGGAGTGATCCGAGGCTTCTTGCCTTTGTGCTGACCACAGTTAAAGGTTTTTGTAATTCCTGCTGGATACTTGGAGGAGAAGCTGAATTGTAACTGCTCTGAGGCAAGTCTTGCTGGATGATTTGGATTTGACTTGGACCTTTTTTATTTTTTTTAATTTTACTATTATTATTATTGTGTGTGTGTGTGTGTGTGTACCGTCAAATCGGACCTGACTGGTACAAGAGGAGAGTGTTCCTCCTTCTCTAGCAGAGCATCTGTTGGATTTGAACCCCACAACTCTGGGATTACTGTGCAGCTGTTTGCCACTAGGCCACCAGAGCTCCCTGAGATTTGACTGCTGAACTGAAACCATAGTCTGGACTAACAGAGGAATTGTGCCTCGGAACTTCTAAAACCTGGACCTGTTTAGGATGATATTCTTTGCCTCCCTCACTCTCCAAGTCACTTCCCTAATAAACTTCATCCTCAGTACCACAGCTGTGTCTGTGAGTCAGCAACGAAGAAAGGAACCTCTTACTACTGCTGTGTCTAAAGGCACCGTAAGGCTGGGCTATGGACTCTTAATCTGCTTCCTGCTTTGGGGCGGTGAGGAGCTGTGCTATTCATACTCTCTCTGGCCCTTTCAGAGAGATGCTCATGGCCCTGTGCCCTCATGTAACGTTTTCTCCTCTTTAGACAAATGTCATAGTCAGACTTACCTCATCATGAAGCAGCTCCAGTGGTTCTATCATGTATACATAGGTACTATCCTCAAACATGCCACTATAACAAAAGATATCACACCACAGGTAATTAGCACAAATGGCAAGAAACAGCAAATTAGCTTCACTATTGTGTCTTCAAAAACATAGTCTCCGAATAAGTGTGTTATACTGTCTGAATTAGATCCACATATCTTTGTGTACAGAACCCACTGTGGTACGGCCACTCCACTACAAAGCATACAGGCTCTGAAAGGTGGAAAATTAACACTGAGAGAAGCCACATTATAGTCGGTATTATGATTTTAAAAATTATAGAATAGAAAATTGACCTAGACTAAAACTCTCTGTGCAGTTCTGGTATCTCAAATTATTCTCTCAGCACAAAGACTGTTGATTGCCCTTAAGTCCAGCACGACTCAGCGAGTCTGTGAACGAAAGACCTGAAGCCTTTCTATAACTATCATCATTATTAAGTTCATAGAGTTTCCAGAGACTTGCGGTTTAGGAAGTGGATGCCACTCCTGCAGCACAAAGATCACTAGCACAATATGTAATGCAAATCCAGTATCAGCTATATTAACACTAAAAAAATTGAACATGCATGAAAAGAATCTCGAGTCTTTAGTTTCTGAAACATCAAACAGAAGTACATTGTCGATTTCCATCAAGGTTACACGTTACAAGTCACGATTTGAGAGATTCAGAAATTTTTATCACTCAAGATCCTTCTCCATCACATAGTCGGACAAGATATTTATATGAAATGCTACTGCAGTTCAGACAGCCTTTTCAGATCCTACCTCAGAGCAGAAGCACAAACTTCTTAGTGTTTGAACATCTACCTCTACGTACAGCTAACTTCTCCAGTTAGAGTGACACAATATTCTCAGGAATATACCTCTGGCAGACCTTCTTGGATTAGGTTTGGCCACCCTATTCTCCTTCACAGCACCCACCAAAATGGTAACATTAACAGTATAATCATCTGTGACAGTGCTAGCAGCTGAATGATTAAGCACTCAACTGCTTAAAAGTTGGAAGTTCAAACTCACTCATCAGCTGTAGGAGGAAGCCTAGAAAAATGTGGTCACTTGCAGTCACTCTGAGTCAAAATGAACACGATGGCACCTAACAGCCACAAGTATTATTTTAAACTATTTGAACCTCTTGCAAACTCAACTTTTCAAGAGTAGGAACTTAGCCTTGCTGCTTCACCAATGCATGCCCATCCCTATCAGGCACTAGCACAGAAACCAAAATTAAAATGTTAATAAACATTTGAAGAAGAAAAAAAAAAAAGAATGGGTGACTGGATGAAAGCAAGTGTGAAGCGTGGTGAGATCCAGCACTGTTCCACGTACTGAAGTCCATTGCATGTGGACAGAGCCGCCTTGGAGTCCTTGATGCCTCTGATGTTTCCATGATAGTAACAGTGCTCTCCACCCTACAAAAAAAAGAAAAGAAAGTTGCTTAATTATGTTTTATGCAATGTGATGCACTTTTGAGATGCTTCTGTAAAGCAAAAAGAAGTTCAAAGATCAGGAATATGCACAGTGGATGGGCAATCCTAGAAATGCCTCTGGGGTAACATGAAAGTTTCAAAGAGGACTACACAATTATTCACTTCTTCTATAATGAGCAAGTGTGCACTGAATTTAATAAAGAAAAAGAGGGTTTACAAGTAAAAAGACAGCACTGTAACTCATCAAGTCTGAATATATTTTTAAAGCCTGTAAAGGAGTCGATAGTTGGCAGATATTGTTGTAGATAAGATCTATCTAAGTGAGAGGCCTACAACACTGTTCTTCATAATCATTTTTATGAAAAATTACATAGCCTCTTACTATGTGTTTTCCACCCTTCTAAAATCAGTTTTTAAGAATTTTTTCTAGATAGTTTGACGGTACACACAAAAACCGTAATGAAAGGAAAAAAAATTTTTTAGAAAAAGAATTTTTTCTAGAAATAATATATGAACATAGATTTGAAAGTCAAAGAAGAGAAGGCCTGTTTTTAAGCAACAGATTCTCTTCCTCTCTCTATCCTTGCCTCTGAGGCAACCATTTTAAACTATTTTAACTGTTTCTTGTGATGTTGACATATATATTTCAGAATGAAATATTTATACTGCCATGTTTTTATTTATTCCACTTTAGAAATTATCTTCCTAATATAGAATCTTGAAAATCCTTCTGACCCCAATTACATTCCAATACATCTCACCACATAAATCAATATTTAGCGCTTATGTTATGACTATGCAAATATTGTTCACAGCTGTGCTACTATAATTACATTTTCTCTTCTGGTTCATTTTCAATCGTTTGGAAAATTCTTGTTTCATTTGCTTGTTTGCTTATTTGTCCATGTAATTAGGACTTATATAGCATCTACTTTTTGAGAGTCTTCTAAAATCGCTCTCAATATCCTCAAACATGTTGTTGAGTTCTGTAGAGTCGGAACAGACCTACAGCTGACCCTCCAGCGGGTTTTCCGAGGCCGTGGGTCCCACGGGAAGAGATTATATTCACTTTGTTCGAGGAGGCTCCTCTTTCTTGACTCTTACCTCCTGTCCTGTGTCAGCCCAGTCTTCTTGTTTTCTAGATCTGATGCACGGATGCCATCCAAGACCACTCTCTGACATCACACAGAACTCCCCGGGCCTCCGTTCTATATTGGATCCCACATACTAGGTGGCCCCTACGCATCATCTCTTCTTCTCCTTTTTGAAGTACATGTCCTTTGATAATTTTTTGAAAAAGTCTTTATGAAAGATAAATTTGGTAAGACTATGGATATATGAAAATGCCCTTTCTTTCAGTCCACATCCTAGACTGATAACTTTGAGCAGGGAGAGAGATTTAGGTAGGAAGTCATTTACTCCAAGCATTTTAAAGACATTATGCAGCCAATAATTTTGCTGCTGAAAGATCTGACACTATTCAAACAATTGATTTTTTTAAAAATAAAATCTAGTTGTTTTTGTTGTTGTTGTTCCGCTTTTCTGACAGATGAAGGAAATTTATCTTTCCCATTCTCATGAAATTCCATAATGTGACTTGGCAGGAGTCTGTGTTCATTCAGTCAATGGGGCACCCAGTGGAACGTTGTAATATTTTTTAAAAACCCCAAAACTACTTTAAGAAGTCATCTTTCCTCATTTCTCTATTAGTTCTCTGTTTTCTAGCTTATTTCATAAACTGAGCTCTTTTACCAGAGATGGGAAGGGGAAGGCACTCAACTGAATAAGGCAGGAAGTAGAACAGAAGGGGTTTTTTCAGGTTTTTAAAATTTTTTTTTAACTTTTCATTTTTATTTTAATGAACATCTACAGAGATTTTGGAATTCCATTCATTCATTGTTGCACTTTTCTCCCCGCCCATCCCCCCACCCCCATGCCCTGTTCGCTTCTCTCCTTGAAAAGTAAAACTCCTTCATTGGTATACAATCCCC